TTATTATTTTTGCGGAACCGGGGATTGAATTCAGGCCCTCGCGCTTAAAAGCAACATTTAGAACCAAGTTAATATATATATATATATGCTACATAATATGAATGAACATTGTATTTAATTGCTAGAAATGGTAAATTTAAAATAAAATGATATACGGTTAAATCTTCCTCCTGAAGGCATTTTTTAGAAATAATTTTGAAAAATTTGTCTTTTTGAAATAAGATATGAGTCTATAAAGGATGATAGAAAACCTGCCCCAAACCATGTGAGTTACTGTAACAAAACAAAAGAAAACTTACTTAATTTCAAGTTGCTTTATCCTATTTTCTGCTCTCTTAAGTTTTAGCTCAAGATCATCTTTTGAGCGCTCAGCAACCAGACATCTTCGGTGCATTTCTTCCAGTTTTCTGTAATCACCTTCATTCCCTCTGCCTTCACGGTAAGTCTGCAGAAGAAGCTTACATGTATATCACCATACAGACGGAAACTGTCTGAACCAAGTACACAGTTTAGAAACTGAAACCAATGATGAAACATAACACCATGGTTACGTGTTCATCTGTTTCCACATATTACAACACATCAGTGATTAAGTTTGGTGGTTTCGTGTTTACAGAATAAAATGCCAAAAAATATAGACATATATAATAAATGGAGATATAAAGAACAATTTTATTTAAAGAAGGTATTTATGCCCATAGTAGATTAATCTGCTAATACAAAAGTGTAAAGCAGCTGAAAGCAAAAAATTAACTTGAATGTCAATTTAGACATAACCACTGGTGGCTTTTTGGTAAGTATCCTTCAAGACAATTATTTAATATTAGAAAAGAAAACTACCTACTGTGGTACAATGAGTAGACTTATCTGAAAATGACCCTAGAATCTCACTCTGGGTCACCTGGATAGTAATCTAGAACCAGAATTTTCCCTTCCCCAGATGTAGCTGCTTTCCTCACGGCTGTACTTCCTCTCACAGAACAAGGGCTGAAACACTGCCTGGCCCAGTAAGCTGTGACTTCCTGCTGTCAACACCATGCTGTGTCTCCTGCTCGAGAGAAAAGGAAGGCATCACACTTCACTGTCCTACTTACTCCTGGGACACAGAGCTCACTGCAGGCCCAGCAGCATTGTGGCCTTGACGTGCTTGTCTGTGGGACAGTGGGGGCACAGGGGCTATTCCTTCTTCCTGTCCACTGCCTTTTGCCTCAGTGCTTTTACATATCTCCAGGAAAGTCATCCCTTAACGTGGGCCAAGTAACACTGAAAAATCTATCCCAAGCCCTGATGGGGAGAGAAGCTTGCCATCTACACGGAGCCTATTTAATAGACACTCAGAAGGATCTGCCTTGCAGCAGAGAGATGCCCTTCCTACACGGTCCTACTTTGAACACATATTTCTTTTGCTACAAGTAGGATTGTACACCATGTTCTTCTCTGTAATTACCGTTTTACTGTTCACTACTGGCATGGTTCTTTTTTTTTTTTTTTCTTTCAGTACCTGCGATTGAACTCAGAATCCTGTATTTACCAGGCAAGTGCTTATTCTACTGAGCTATCTCCCCAGCTCGGGCATGGTTTTTGATAATGTGGTTATTTCACATGATTTTCATGTTATACATCTTGTATTTGAAAATGAAGTTCTGACCCTATTTTTTTAAACACTGGGCAAGTTACTTAATTAAAATTTCCTCTCTGAAAGTTTCTAATATAGCATCTAAAAGACAGATGTTGTATGTGCCCAATTTTGATCTACCTTTCTTTTCCCAAAGTACTTTAAAAGATGTAGGATTGGGCCAGTGAGATAGCTCAGCAGACTAAGCGCCTGCTTAGGCAAGTGCAGGGACCAGGTTTGATCCCCAGTACCACATGCCGCATTTCCCCATCCCTGGGTGTGCTGAGCCAGTGACTGAGTCTAGGTGTGGTGGTGCATGCCTGTAATCCCAGTGCTGGGGAGGCTGAAAACAGGAGGATCTCTACGAGTTCAAGCTGTGTAGTGAGACCCTGTACCAAATACATTAAGAAAAAAAGGATAGAAAGAAATTTAAAAATGTACATAATTAAATTTATAAAATTAAATTGTTTTTTTTTTTGGACCCGGGGATTGAACTCAGGCCCTTGTGCTTGCTAGGCAAAATTAAGGTTTTATGTAGATTTCGCAAATATTTTAAATATCATTGAGGTAAATATTTTTCCTAATTATCATACATTAAAAAGGTAAATATCATAGCAATGTTATACTTTTCTGTCTATACATACTTTTTGTATTTACAGATGGCCTCCTATACCCCAGTAAGAGCTGGCATAAAATTAAAAAAAGAAGACAGACTAAATGAACTTTACTATTGGGATGAAGTTAAAGCAAGAAATATAGCTATTTCATAAAATATTACACCTTTAAGTACAAAATTCACCTTAGGCACACTCTACGTCATCAATCACATTGCTCTGTGGCCCCATAATCTCCTTGATCAGAAAATTAGGGACACAATTGAATTACATGATGTTATGCTACAGGGTCTCCTATGTCCTGAGTCCTCACTGACCTTGAAAGGCTAGGGACAAAATGTTGACTATCCTTGCATCCCGTCTTTTTCTCTAATTTTTGGTTTGCAAACTTAGGTTGTTAACCCTCCAGGAGAGAAGCTTATTATTACCCTACAATATATGCAGTTGGCTTTAAGCTCACTATCTGTCTGAATATCAAACATCTTAGGCATAACATGGCACAGGTATTTTCCATCTAGTATTGATATGTTAAACTTTAAGGCCCTACAGAATAAGGAGAAAAAAAGTTAAAAAAAATTTAAAAAATATGAATAAACAATTACATATTTTCCACAGAAATTTGGAAATCTAACCATATATAGCACTGTAGCAGGACAGTACTGTGATTTTTTTTTTCTTGTCTTTTTTCATTTATTACCTTTTTTTTTTTAAACAAACATTTACTTGAGAGACAGTATGGCAATAATTGGTATGTCATGAAAAGCAGTACGTATTTAGAAGACCAGAATGACAGGCACTCCAAGCATGACCCTTCTATTACACATTGCTATCTTCAATGCAGTTGCTTAGTCATAGGTATCAGCATATATAGTCAGGATGAGAATCCTACCAATTTACTCCTAGTTTCAAAAACCTGCTGATGTTTATCAGGATCATTGCCTTACCCATCTTGTGCGGATAAATGTATGGCTTTGTCCCTGTCATTTTTCCCAGCTTTTCTCCTTGCCCTCTCCTCATTGTCAGTCCTCAAGCTTTCTCTTTCCTTTTAATTGTGCTATACTTTTCTATTTATATTTCTTCTTTTGAGTTCTTATACTAGTGAGACTACACAATATTTATACATGTGGGTCTGGTTTATTTCACTTATGAGTATATCTTCAAGTGGCATCCACATGAAGAGAAAACATTCTCTCAGCCTTTCACAGAGAGCAAATTGGTCAAGCAATGGTTGTAACTCATCCACATGGCTGACACTGACAAAAGATATGCAAACTGTGGTACAGGGTTACAGGATAAATCCTGAGGGGACTTGACTGACCTTATAAGATACAAAAGTTACATTTCTTGTTATATAGGTCTTGCTTTATCTTGGTCTTAACCATCCAGCAGGAAATTATAAAAACAAAGTATAAAAAGTAAAGTCATATTAATATGCTGAGCTGTGAAAAGGTCAAGTCAACAATTTCTGACATTGTCAGCCCTATGGATAACCCACTACTGTTATGGACTGGTGGACTATATTGTATTATTCTGCTGAATTCACACACCTACAATATTTAAATGGCAATGGAATACCCTATTCAGACAAAACTAAACAAAAAAAAAGGAGATATAAAGGAAGGACCATTTTGTATTTTTTTTTTGCCTTTTTAAACTTGAATTTTTATTTATTTTTTTCCATAATTTTATTGAGAAACATTTTGTATTTGTATATAGAAAATAGGATAGATATACAGCTACTTTCTCTTAATTCAATGAGAAGAAAGATTTGTACTAATAGTACTTGGACAGGATATCATGTCTGCATCTTGTACTGTGAATAACCACTAAGAAGATAACAATATGCAATGTATTAATTATTGAAACTGTCCTATTAATCGGTTTTGAAACTCTCATTGCTGTTTCTCAATAAAATTAATAAAAAATAAATTAAAAAAGTACAAAATTCAGAGAACAGTACCAGATTTAGAGATGTACGAAGGCAGCTGCAGGACTTAAATGGAGATCCTGACTGTATTCCAAGAATATAAGAAACACCCGGAGAAGGAGAACACTTTTATGTGATGAAATCAGATAGCAATGTTGAATATTTGTAGTTTTAGGTAGTCATATTTCCTTTTATTTTTACCTGTTCTAGTTCTTCTTCCACAGCTTTTTTTTCCCTAACGCATCGTTCAATTTGGCTTTGTTTTTCATAACACTCCTGTAAATTCAAGTTATTAATACAAGTAAATACATTAGGTAAAATCTTAAGCAGTGATTTATTCATAGCAGGAACACCAAAGTCACCTTATCAACACAGTAATCACCAAACACAAACCAAAAGCAAACAAAGTGAAACTCAGGAGCGAGTCCAGGGTACCAGAAATCCAGGGACAAGGTGCTAAGGGGCTCTAATTAAGCAGAGCAGTAGGACACCCAGATTGGCAGAGCCAGGAAGAAAAGATAAACAGAAAAAGAGCCACTATCTCATATTGTATCTTTTCTTTGTATATTTCCTTACAAATTTTTTTCAAAAGGCAGTGTAGAACTGGCTGGTGGCACAGTACTCTGAGGGATAACCTATGGCTTACAATGTGCACAGGTACATACATTCTAAAACTATTGTTTCTGTTGTGTGATATTATTTATTGTTAACTTATCACTAAATGTTCAATTCATAACATTTAGTGATAAGTTAACAATAAATAATTCATAACAAAAATCCATACTGGGACTCTCCTGGCACTGCAATATTGACAGTTGTAATACTTAATTGTCTACTTTGTAACTATGACCCAAATATTCAGATTTCTTATTTCTGACAGCGATACCCCTTTTTTCAAAACAAGAAGATATCTGTCTTTTTTTTTTTTAAACATTTATTTATTTATTTAGTGTGTGGCCAGCTCAGCCCACTAGGGGGCGGGGCTGACTGGCATGTGGTGCTGGGGGATTGAACCGTGGTCCCTGTGCTTTGCTTAGCTGAGCTTGTTCTAAGTAGGTGCTTTAGACCACTAAGCCATCTCACTAGCCCCAATATCTGTCTTTTGATTATATTCCTCCCTCTTCCCCCTTCCTCCTCTGCTTCTCGTAACATGGCTTGCAATATACAGTATGCACTGATCACACAGTTGTATCGCACTTGTGGGTCTGACAACGGTGTAGAAAGCAAGTATCTCCATAACCCTCTTCATTGAGTCTACAATATTATATGGACAACTGACAATGGCTCAGAGAATGGTTTACGTGGAGTGGCAATGGTGAAATAAGAAAAGGTGAAATCTTTAAAGAATTACCATACTGATTCTACTAAACATGCACAATAATGAAACAAAGATTAAAAATTATTATTAACCTTTTTAGACATATAGGTATTTGCTAATCACCACTGCTATACGTACATTTGGAAGAAATATGACAAAATGTGACAATGGAGTTTTTTTTTTTTTTTTTTAAGTCTCAGGAAATACTAAGAGCTCATGGGTGATAGACCATGACGTCCTTATGTAGTTGAAGCAGGGATAAAATAAAAATACAGTTCAAGACTTTCTGTAGTACTTAGAAATGAAAAACTAGACTTTCAGAAAATTCATGGATCTAAGAAAAGATCATGGCAAATGTTTTATTTTACTTTTATATATTTGGGCATTTTATAGTTAATCTTATTTTCCATTTGCTATAGATTAATAGCTATCTTCCACATTACAGGGTCTCACTATACAGATCGGACTCCTAGTGATCCTCCTGTTTTCAGCTTCCCAAGTGCTAGGATTACAGGTACGTGCCACCATGCCCCGTCTCAGTGTGCCCCAGGGGCAGGGCCTGTATGGCACACTGGGAATGGAATCCCAGCCCCTGCCTAAGCAGGCACTGAGCTATCTGACCAGCCCTAGACCTTGAGTATTTTTAAGAGAAACTATATCTGGCAGGAGAGATTAAAGGCTGTTAGGTGTTTTTTGAGAAAAAAAGGGAGACATATAACTTGAATATACTGCCTTTAGCCTTTTTTTTAACCTATTAAAAATTCTGCACACTAACCTAAAATACAAGATTTTTTCCCCTCTTTCTGCAAGTATAGCTTAATTTTTGGTTAGTCCAAGTATGGTTAACTTTCTCTTAGGCTTAATCTTTATAATAAAGATGGCATAGTTGCTGTTTAAGGATAGAAAATAGTGGATACCATTATTAAACTTGAGACTCTAGGTCAGATTTTCTCAGAAAATTTGCTTTTTAAAGTACACGAGGGCTGGCCAAATAGCTCAGCAGATTAAAGTGCCTGCAAGCAGGTGCAGGGGCCGGGGGCTCCACCCCTGGGCCTGCCCTGCTGGCTGCCACTGCCCCCACTCCCAGGGGAATGCTGAGCCAGTGATTGAGACTGGGAGTGGTGGCATGTGCCAGTAATCCTAGCTGTTAGTAGGCTGCAAACATGTGGATCACTATGAGTCAGATCTAGTAGTGAGACCCTTCCCTAAAATACAAAAAAAAAAAAAAAAAAAAAAAAGTACATGAAAATGTCTTCCTTCCTATGTTTTCTAACATATTGAACACTTCTCAATTAGGCAGTACAATTTTCCCCACAGAATCAACATGACATCAGATAGTGTTTCTATCCTTAGAAAAATCACTTAGCTATGAAATAAAATTGTTTTACTATAAATCATAAGATACACTTTTAAAATAAACTATACTTTTAAAAATGACTTGACTATAAGCTGAGCTTGATACAGCTTTTGTTGTTAAACATCTAACAACAATTATTCTTTAAAAAGACCTTGCAGAATGTAGCCAGTTGTTTTTCTTTGGGAAAAGAGAACAAATATTCATGGCCTTGCAGAGTTTACAGTCCATTAAATGATCTGAGACTGGGGTAAAGACACTATTATTTCTTCCTTTACAAAGATGTGAGTCTTTTGATAATTAGTTCATGAAAGAGAACAGATAAAATAACAGGGTGATGGAAAGAGAAGGAAAACTACATAGCAACAAATAATTAAACATGACTAATTAGCCACACTGCATCCTGTTAATTTTACACAATTCCTACATCATTAAAACAAATGACATTAAACAAACAAATAAAAACTGACACTGTTATCAGTCCTATTATATTCAGGACCAATACACAATGACTAAGTTTTATAATGTACACTAGAGTCTGCAAAATGTGGAAAAGACATGATCCTTTTCAGAAGTATGTAGATATCATTTGGTTGATAAGTATTAATTTAAAAATGTATTGTGCAAAACACTGAATTAGGCAGTGGGGAACTTGAAGAAGGGATGAGACTGCGCTATTCTATAATCAAATCTAAGAGGTGATAACATTTTGGTGGAAAGAGCAGGAGTACGCTAGTAGCTGTACACTGAACAAGTACTAATGCTTAATACATATGATATGATAGACTTCATTGATGAATTTTGTCACCAATATGAAAAATGATAAAAGAATTCAGAAAAGATGAGTTCTTGAAGTAGTAAATATCTTTCCAGTTCTTAGAAATTGCTACATTTCTATTATGTTACTAAATTTCATTTCATCAAATCTTCAGGATAAATTTATATTCTATAATATGATCTCCAGTTACACAAGTACTCACTTCTTCTCCCATTTTGCCTACTTATCCTTCAATATAAATTGCTTTGGGGAAGTTTTCATCTTTCTTTTTTCTCACTCCCATTCTGTGAATCCACAGTATGTCTGTCTGTCCACCCACCCTCCTTTGTCTACACCCAGGATGGTAGGAACTGCACCTGGGTGTCTCAGTGGCATTGTGTTATCTGTCAAAAAGAAATAATTACTAAACGTCATGGATGCCACACTTCCTGGGAGGCCATATAGCATCAGACCAGAAAACATCTGTATCTGTGTTTTCCTAGCATCCAGCAAAGGTCATAGCTTAATAAATATATTTTCAATAAACAAACACTTGATAAATTGTATCTTGTCTTTAAAAATGAGCAATATTTAAAAGAAAATATTCATCTAGACTTCTTTTTCTTTCTTTTTTTGTGAGGCTTGTGATTGAATCGAATGCCCTGTGTGTGCTAGGCCAGCTCTCTATCACTAAGCTACATCTACAGTCTTCACTGGGCTTCTAACCCACCATTTGAAGAGCTGAAAGTTCTTCCATTAATTGAGAAATCTGTACATGATGTTGTTTTTTGGTGTTTTCGACCTGTAAAAGAAGACATTATAAGTTATTTAAATAATAAATAATACCTGATAAAAATTCATCAAAACATTTGATAAAAATTTAGAATAACAGCCACATAATAATTTTACATAACAGTTAAATAAAGTTGTAACTTTTAGGGCATAGAAGATAAACATATGCACAAGCTCCCCAGTAACCAAGAATTTGGTGTGAGACCAGAAAGAGAGCAAAAAGGATGATACTTCTAATATAATGTTTTTGGGTTTTTTTTTTTTTTTGGTGGAACTGGGGATTGAACTCAGGCCCTTGCACTTGCCAGGGAAGCGCTTATTCCACTGAGCCATTAATATAATGTTTTTTAACCAATACTTAACCATTATTTAGAAATAAAACCCCCAAATTTAAAATTTTAATTCCTTTAAAACAATAATTAAAATATAATTAGAATTCAAATAATTAAATTTTATATTGTTTAGAATAAAATACATGCTTGGGGCCAGCCAAATAGCTCAGTGGATTAAAGTGCCTGCTTAGTCAGAGCAGTGGCCAGCGATGTGCAGAGACAACTGAGAATGGGCGTGGCAGCACACGCCTGTAATCCCAGCTCTTGGGAGGTTGAACACAGGTGGATCACTACGAGTTGGATCTATGTAGTGAGACCCTGTATTTAAAAAAAAAAAAAAAGTATATATATATATAACATTTTTATGAAAAATAAGTGCAATTCTCCTCTTTTTTCCAGAGTATTGTAATTTTCATTGTATAGTTCTTTTACTTCCTTTGTTAGATTAATTCCTAAGTATTTCTCTTTTTTTTTTTTTTTGATGCTATTGTAAAGGATGTTGTTGCTCTAATTTTTCTCTCAGTGACTCTGTTGTCTGTGTAGAGGAATGCTATGGATTTTTGGGTACTAACTTTGTATCCTGCTATGTTACTCAATTTACTAATTTCAGAAGTTTCGTGGTAGAATTTTTTGGCTCTTCCATGTACAGTATCATATCATCTGCAAATAATGATAATTTAACTTTTTCCTTTCCAATCATTCTTTTTATTCCTCTCTTGTCTAATGGCTCTGATTAATGTTTCCAGAACCATATTGAATAGGAGGGATGACAGCGGACATCCTGTTCATACCTCATTTTAGAGTATAAACTTAAGTTTTTCTCCATTTAGAATAATGTTTGTTGGTTTGTCATAGATGGCTTTTATCAGATCGAGCTATAGGCCCTGTATTCCAATTGTCTGTAGGGTTTTTATTATAAGTGAGTATTGGGCTTTGTCAAAGTCTTATAAAATATGAAAGGTAAATATAGTAAAACAGAAAGAAATTATACATAAGGAATAAACAACTGAGATGAAGGAAAGGAGAAAATAGGAAAAAAGAAAAGTGAAAAAATCATATAAGTATATACACAGGAAAGCTAAGATAGTTGTACTACTACTTTCTCTCAATTTCTTGAAGGTAGCAGTTAATATTTACAATTTTTACTGCATGAAATTTTATATATGAATATCTCTAACCTGAGCAACTACACTGAAGACAACAATGTGTAACAATCACTGTTGAATACTTTTCACCTTGCTTTTTAAAAATGTGTATTGTTTCTAATGTCTTTTTTTTTTTTTTTTTCAGAACCAGGGATTGAACTCAGGCCCTTGCACTTGCCAGGGAAACACTTATTCCACTGAGCTATCTCCCTGGCCCCTGTTTCTAATGTCTTATTGAAAGAAAGAGTTAATGTTTAATTGTTTCATTGGTCTTGCATGCCTATATCTGGTAAATCTATCAACAAATCTGATGATATAAATGTGTAGTATAATAACCACTGTTTAGTTTCTATTCCTTTTTTTAAAAAATGTATTTGGTACAGGGTCTCACTACACAGTTCGGACTCATAGCGATCCTTCTGTCTTAGCCTCCCCAGAGCTGGGATTACAGGTGTGCACTACCATGCCTGGACTTGGTGGCCGGCTCAGCGTGTCTAGCAGCAGGGCTGGTGTGGCATGCGGTGTCAGGATTGAACCTGGTCACTGCACTTGCCTAGAGCAGGCACTTAGTCTGCTGAGCTATCTTGCCTGCCCTCTCTATTCCTGTTTTAAAACATTGTACCATTTTTATTTTCTGTTTCTTTTTTTTTGTCTTTGCTATTTGTTTTTTTCTCTTAAAAAAGTGTATTTTTTAGGATTTTTTTTTTTCTCCCAATGCCTTCAGGGCAGGTTTGGCTGGCTTGAGTTGTGGGGATTGAACCACAGAAACCTGAGCCTGACTGCTTTGTTGAAGCAGCCACTTAAAGGACTGGGCTAAGGGGCAGGCCCCCCAATTTTTTTTTTTTTTTGGCGGAACCAGGGATTGAACTCAGGCCTCATGCTTGCCAGGCAAGCGCTTATTCTGCTGAGCCATTTCCCCGGCCCTAAAAAAGTGTATTTTTTAAAATTAAAGATTTTTACAAAGATTGGTATTTTATTTTTATAAATCTTCTTAGGGCCGGGGAGATAGCTCAGTGGAATAAGAGCTTGACTGGCAAGTACCAGGTTTTGAGTTCAATACTTGGTATCACAAACAAAACAAAACAAAACAAAACAAAACAAAACAAAACAAAACAAAACAAAACAAAACACCTTAATGTCTGGCTGAATAGAAGAAAGCTATTTTCTCATACCTGTTTCTATATTCAACCTGCTGCATCTTTACATATTATGCAACTCTTGGCAAACAACACTGCATATTCATGAGAAAGTGAGAGTGATAAAAGCAAAGTATAACAGAAGTATGAAAGTAGATGGAATCTTGCAGAATGCCTGAACACTGTGAAAACTATTGCTATAGAGCAAAACAAGAGGGAAAAAAAACCATGGAAAAAAGTTAAAGAACTGAGACTGCAGCTCTGTGGTAGAGCACTTGCAGGGCAAGAGCAAGTGCCTGCAGGGGCGAGCAGAGCAGACTCGCCGTGAAAACGGAATGAGTAACTTTATTTACTTATGTTGGCGGAACCAGGGATTGAACTCAGTCCCTTGCCCTTGCCAGGGAAGCACTTATTCTCCTGAGCCATCTCCCTGGCCCCAAAGGAGTAACTTGAAAAACATCTTTGTTTTACAAATACAAAGGCACTGTCGTAATACACATCATATTCTTGGATTAAGTAAATTACATGTTAGGTCACCTTTCTCTGAATTAACATTTATCTGCTTTCAGAAGCAGTAGAACTTATGTGCAGAGTATTTTATTTTTAAATTTTATTTATTTACTTATTCAATTATTTATTTATTTAGTGTGTGTGGCCAGTTCAGCCCACCAGGGGGTGGGGCTGGCTGGCATGTGGTGCTGGGGGATTGAACCGTGGTCCCTGTGCTTTGCTTAGCTTAGTTTGTTCTAAGTAGGTGCTTTAGACCACTGAGCCATCTCACCAGCCCCTGTGCAGAGTATTTTGAAGAGTTAGTTGTGTCTCTGCATGGCTCCTATGACCGTCAGTTTTCTAGTAGCACTGTTCATGCTTTAGAAAAGTATTATGAAGAATACTGATGCTGATGGCGTATCATAATGTCCTATGATCTAAGACCTTGTGAATTGTATAGAATCTTATAAAATTATAAATTATTAAAAACATAATATAAAATTTGTAGAATATTTATAATACTGTTATATACTTTACTTGGTTAATTAATATGAGCTATCTTTTTCAAGGCCTACAAACATTACATATGGTTCTATTTTAGTCCTATTTAAGGTTATGCAATTTGATGTTGAAGTTTCCTACAAATTAAAGATTAGGATATTAAGGATCAATCTCTTCTGTCCGTGGGTCAGTAGTAATACAGCTTAGTACATGCTGAGCATTTATGTGTCAGGTATTACTCAAATGCCGTATGACTGGGTTACTCCCGATGATCCCACGAAGTCGTTTCCCTCTCCACTACGGTGAGTGTTATACTGTGGACCTAGAATGCTCTCCACAACCCTGTACAGTACAGGCTTGATTCCCAGCAAGGCGTTATTAGGAGGTGGTGGAACCCTTAAGAAGTGGGGTGTAGTGGGAGGTCTTCAGGCGATTCTCCTGCCCTTGAGGGGAGTGGGCCCAGCCACTCCCTCTTCACCTCTTTCCCTTCCTAGCATGGGCTAAGTGGCTCTGCTCAGACACCTGCTTCTGCCATGCTGTGCTGCTTCACCATAGGCCTGAAGGCAAAGGGGTCATCCAGTCATGCACTAAACATGGCCTGAAACAAACATTTCTTTTAAACTAATTATCCTAAGCATTTGTTAGAGCGAAGGAAAGCTGATTAACACTGGGGTAGGGAGAAATTAAGACATGTTTTCAGAATATAAAAGTTTGATTTTTACAATGTCATACCTCTTTCACATAATTTCGTTCTTTCTTGTTTTTTTTTTTTTTTTTTCAGAACTGGGGATTGAACTCAGGCCCTTGCGCCTCCTGGGCAAGTGCTTATTCATCTCCATAGCCTCTCTTTCACATAATTTCTCAAATGTGTTCCTTTTAGTGTTTAAAACTGAGAGGTAAACTGAGAGTTTATGACAACAATAAAGTGTGTATTTTGAAATACTTTATATTAATGATGGCAAGTTTAACTGAATTAAACTACTGATTCCTTTTGAAAAGAGAACTCTTGAAGCTGACAGTACCTCATGTGTGAGCTACACTCCACAGGAAGTTTTCTGGGGTTAGCATCTGATAAAAAAAATATAAACCCCTGTGTGAAACATGTACACAGGACAATGAAGCTGTTCACTGTGGTGGAGGTCCACAGAGTTTATACAGAGTCTAATATCCACCTCTCACCCTAACTCCTTACCTGATTTAATTAATTAATTAATTAATTAATATTGCACAGGGTTTCACTACACAGCTTGGACTTCTAGTGACCCTCCTGTTTTTAAGCCTCTGAGCGCTAGAGCACTGGGATTACAAGTGTTGGCCACCATGCCCGGACTCGGTCTCAGCTCAGGGCACCCAGGGGTGGGACTAACCTCATTCTATCTACAAAAACATTGCTTTCTATAATTGCTATGAGTAGTGAGGATGTTTACCAACCAAACTGTAAGGTACATTAACAAGAAATAGAAATAGGAAAGGCCAACAATGGTGCTAGTCACTATCCAAACTCAAAGATAAACAATGGTTTTTTTTCTCAAAAATTTTATTTACTTCTGAGGTACAGGATCTCAGGACAAATCCTGAGGGCAGTTCACTGACCTTCTCAGACCAAAAAGCTACAACTCTTGTTGCATAGGTCCTGCTTTACCTTGGTCTTAACCATCCAGCAGAAAAGTATGAAGACGAAATTATAAGAAATAAAGCCATGCTGTTAAGTTGAGCTGTGGGGGACTCAGGTCAATAATTTCTGACATTGCCAGTTAAACAGGAGACCCAATGCTATTATGGGCTACTGGACTCTTTTAGAATATTTTGCTGAGTTTACACACCTATAATATTCAATAACGGAACTTAGAAAAAATGGGGTATACAGATGAATGTCCATTTTGTATCTGTGTATTCAAAGTGGTTGGGATAGATATATAGTTACATTCTGTTAATGAATAGAATGATTTGTTCTAATGGTGTTTGTAAATAGGATCACAAGTCCGCATCTTGTACAGCAATTAACCACTAAGAAGAATATATGCAGTGTATTATTTGTTGAAAAATAAAAATAATAATAATAAAAAAAAACAACAAAAAAATTTTATTTACTTGAGAACTCAGATACAAGCAGTTTTATAATTAAAAAATCACTGTCATAATTTATAACCAGAGACAATATATGTGAAATTTTTCATGGTATATAACTAATACATACATTTATGTATTTCATTGACTTATAAAATAATACCTACCTACTCTGTGAAATTTTACATACAATGGAAATATACAATATAAAAGTCTCTCATTGTAATGATTCCTGTTAATGATTTAATATAGTCTTATAAGTATGCATATAAGTATTTTAATTTAAAAGTTGTTAGGTAGTATTTATTTTTTATTTTTTATTTTTAGGGAAGGGTCTACAGAGTGTTCAGGGTCTCACTCCTAGATCGGACTTTTAAGTGATTCTTCTGTTTATAGCCTCCCAAGAGCTGGGATTACAGGCACTCACCACCACAACCAATTGTGTCTCAACGCATCCTGGGGGCGGGGCCCACATGGCAGGTCCAAGGGTCCAATCCCTGGCCCCTGCACCTGCTTTCAGGTGCTTTAATCTGCTGAGCTTTTTGGCCAGCCCTGTATTTAGTCTTTAGTTAGAACTTAAATCTGAACTTTAAATAGAATTTAAAAAACCTTTACCGCTTTCTTGGTTCTTAAATTAGACTCTTGTATGAGCTGAGAAAGTGCTTCTTTCATTTTCTCTTTATCTTCTTCTCTTTGCTTCTTCTCAAGCAGAACCTTCAGAAAATAATCATTTCATGTTATAGATCACATCACTGTCAGTAAAGATAATGTTTACAAAAAAACTAGCCAGCCTTTTTAAGAGTTAATCTACCTGAATTTCTGGGGCACCTTCACTTGAACTTGCCTCTGTCATGAAAGATATTTATTTTTCTTACTCACCCTTATCAGTGTTCTAATTTCATTTTTTCCCCTTGTACTGGAGATTGAGCCCAGGACCTCTTGCATATTAGGTAAGCACTCCATCACTGGGCTGTATCCCAGGTCAAGGGTTTTGAAGTCAGTCTTTCTAAATTATCCAGGCCATGCTCAAAGTTGTGTTTCTCTTACCTCAGCTCCCTGAATAACTGGGATTATAGATGTGCAACAATATACAGTAACCGGATTAAAAAAAATCCTTTTTCTTTTGCATTTATTTCAGCCAGTATTACCATCAATCTTCTAATCTCTAGATTTTAGAACTATTTTTGAATTTTCCTTTTCTTTCAAGCCCCTCTATAAAAGCCAACATGTCTAGGTCTGATATTCTTGGGAAAATCTCTTGTCTTTCACTTTTATAAATACACTATTTGATATCATTCAAATCATGTTCCTGTTTACCTCACACTTTGATCACTGCGGACCAGACAGAGTTTGTCTCTGTGATGTGTTTTTAATAATGAATCACTCAATACTCAGGTCTTGGTTTTCTTTTTTTTTTTTTTGTGGAACCAGGGATTGAACTCAGTCCCTTGTGCTTGCCAGGGAAGCACTTCTTGCACTAAGCCATCTCTGCGGCCCTTTCAGGTCTTGGTTTTCTTCTCTACTTATCTATGTACATCCCTGGGTAACTTAGTCAAATATTCTGATTTTAAATATCATTTGAAATCTCCATTTCCAATCAAAACACTCGAATTGGGAACTCTTATAATTAGGTCAGTCTGAGCCTCTTCTTTCTGTTCCTAGTACGTGGCTCTATGTTCTGCCCTGAACATCTCCCAAAGACCATATACATTCTCTTCGCCATTTATTTAAATTGTTTTGAGGAATATCATGGTGGTGTTGAGGAAGCAGCACTCATAGACAGCTCTTCGATACTCACTGAGGTCATTCAGCGTGCAGCTACCAGAAATGATAGAGGCACCAAGCACTGGAGTACAACTTGAATAGGACAGCAGAGTTGAAATGCAGAAAAAAGGGACAGTCCGGATAAGAAGTGAAGCTCCCTCTCAGCCTGGGTCCTACTCCCAGCTCAGGTCAAGGCACAGGGACAGTGCATTCTGTAAGAGGGACCCTGGGTGGGGGGTGGGCAGTGGCTGCACCTGGGCACTCCAATCACAGGTCTCTGCCTGCACAGCCAGCCCAGCCACGCAGTTCTTCCACTGGGACATGATGCAGAGCCTATGATAACAGCGGGAAAGTGCATCTCTACCCCTGGGCTGTGCTCCCAGGGTGTGTCCAGAGACCAAGCCATCTGAGCATGACTGAGGGAAAGATAGACTGGATGGAGATGCCTTGGATTTCTGCCTCCTTGGCACTGACACAGAGGAAACAAGTATCAAAGAGAAAATTAGAGACATGGGGTCACTGGGACACATAGGGACGGGAGGTACAGAAAAACATCTATGCAGAAGAAAGTTCATTACTAACCTGATGCCACTGAAATCACAGGGTCTAGGCAAGCTGATAAGGGATTTCCAGGGATGGAGAAAGGACAAGGTGGGGCTTCCTGTAAGGCTGTGGCTCGATGAAAACCCTCAGGTGAGACTCCCTGGTGGGGGCAGAGTAAATATCTAGCCACTGACCACGGGAATGCTAGAGGCCCCCCAATATGGTGGCAGACAGTGGCAGCAAAGACCATGTAAGGAACACACCCCAAGCAATACAACAGGACACCCCATTCCCAGCTCTTTTTCTTTTATGTTCTGCCTTGTTGCCTCTTTATCAGAATATGCTTAGTATGACAAAGGCCAGTCTTTTTACACGTGTGTGTGTGTGTGTGTGTGTATGTTTCTATCTGTGAGTTATTAGTTTTCTGCTTTAACTCTGCAACACCCTAGCTTGTTTGGCCATATATTCCCACACCAATAGTTGCTTATTAGGAATATCTAAATTTATTTGTGTTTGATCAATAATTAGGTATAGGCCTCTTTCACATTCCCTTTCTCTCATTACTTTCCTCTATATACATGCCTTAGTCTCCTCTCTCTCTGTATTATTATTTTTAATTCTCTATTTCCCCCTCCCCTGGGTATCTCTTCCTCTTATTTATCTGTTTACTACTTGAAACACTTTGAACATCACTGATGCTGAATTTAGCTTAGGCAAGTATACCATATTATTTAGTATGTCTTGTACTGAATCAGTTTAGGAGTAAAGATCTTTCCCATCAAGTTCTTAGGTATCAAAGAGCCTACGGTGAGCATCTCAAATATTGAGATTATTGGGACTGCTCTGTCCTTTCAAAGCATTACTAGGGGATAAAGCTAATATCCAGTGTAGACTGAGTGGAAACTCTCACAAAGATACACAGCCTCCCAAAATATAGTCAAAGAGAAAGCCTCTTATATAAAGGAATCCAACACAACAGTGGAAGACACATTTTACCCAACCGTTGTACAAATTTCAGTACACAAGCACAAATAAAATAAGAAAACAAGACAAAAGAACGCCTCCAAAAATAAGAACTCCTCAAATTTGGTCCCAATGATACTGAGGATGGTGAAATTCCAAAGAATTTTAAAACTGATAGTTAAAATGATCAATAAAATCAAAGGGACTAAAAAGCAGCCAAAAAGAATCAATTGCTAGAATAATCAATGAGATCAAAGAAGATACAAATAGGCAGCTGACTGAATTAAAGAAGGCAGGATATGAAAGACTATTTCAGAAAAGAAAAACTGCATACAACTAAGTAGAAACCCAGGAAATGAAAACCTCATGAAGACACATAAAAAACACAACTGAAAATCAATGCAGTAAAGTAGATCAGACAGAAATAAGAATTAGGAATTGAAGATAGAGAAATACTAAAACATTCAGACAGGATCAAGTTAAAAAGAATGATCAACACTGAATAGACTTTGAGGAGTTGCTGGATAAATCTAAAAGAAATAACTTGTCAAGTAACTTTAAAGCTCATTAGCTTTAAAGGGGGCACTAAAAAGGAGAATAATGGCCTAAAAAGTCTAGTCACTGAAATTGTAGCAGAAAACTTCCTCAAACTAAAAACTGAGCTGGATAGCCAAGTAAAGATGGTATTGTTAATCCCAAATAAAGACACCCAGAAAAGAACCTCCTCATGATGCTGCCATAAGAGAAATGTCAGAAATTCAGAAAATGGAAACAAATTAAAAGCTGTTAGAAAAACAAAGTCATTTATAAGGGTAAACCCATCCAAATAAGAATTTCTTACATCAACTTGAGAAGCCAGGATAATATGGGACAAAGTTTTTCAAGCCCTGAAAGAAAATAGTTGCTTACAAAGATTACTAGATCCTGAAAAGCTCTCTTTCAAAGAAGAAATAAAGACATACCATGATAAATACAAACTAGAGAAATTTAAGACCATCAAGCCACCACTTCGAATGATAGTAAATCTCAAACACAGAGTAAGAAGGGAACAACTGTGAGCCAAGTGGGAAGAATAAGACTGACTGGCAGAGAAGATATGTAAATAAAGGATTCAAACACCAGAAAAACAACACAATGATAGAGATTAGTACAGATCTTCTAATAGTAATACTTTATGTACACAGTTTTAACTCTCCAATTAAAAGACCTCGAGTGGCAGATTAGATAAGTAGACCCATCTTTATGTTGTCTAACAGAAACACACCTCAACTGTTAAGACATATACATAGACAGAAAGTGAAAGGAGGGAAAAATGATATGGCAAGCAGATAGAACTTTAAAACAAGTAGGTGTATCTATACTCATATCTGACAAGGTAGGCTTCAGACAAGAACTGATCAGAAGAAATAAAGAAAGCCACTACATACTAGTAAAGGGATGAATTCACCTAAAAGAATCATAAGTACATAGGAACTAAACATTAGTCTATCCAATTTCATAAAAATGACAGAGCCCCAAATGAAATCATAATGGGAGATATCAATACTCCGCTATTACAAGACAAAAAAAAATCAAGAAAGCAACATCAGAATTAAACCACAGTATAGACCAGGTAGAATTAATCAATACCCAGTGTTGCACCCATAGTAACCAAAAGAACTTTCTCCAAAATAGACCATATTTTGGGCTACAGAGCAACTTTATTTATTTAATTTTTGGTGGTACCAGGGATCGAACTCAGGACCTTGTGCTTTTCAGGCAAGCACTTATTCCACTGAGCTATCTCCCCAGCCATGTATGTATGCATGTATGTATGTATGTATGTATGTATATATGTATTTGGTACAGGGTCTCCCTACTCAGCGCAGACTCACAGTGATCCTCCTGCTTTCAGCCTCCACAGTGCTGGGATTACAGGAATGCGCCACCATGCCTGGTCTTGGTGGCTGGCTGGCTCATTGTGCCTGAGGATGGGGCTGGAGCGGCATGTGGTGCCGGGAATGAACCCTGGTCCCTGTACTTGCCTAAGCGGGCGCTTAATCCACTGAGCTATCTCACCAGCCCTAGCAACTTTACTTTTTTTTTTGTTTGTTTGTTTTTTAAAAATCACTGCCATAGTTTTATTTAAATATGTCCACAGTGTAAGTAGTCTTTTTTTTTTTTTTTTTTTTTGGTGGTATCAGGGATTGAATTCAGGACCCTGTGCTTGCCAGGCAAGCACTTACTCTACTGAACTATCTCCCTGGCCCCGTCCGTAAGTAGTTTTTTAATGATAACACAAATATAACCTAGCAACTTTAAATAAAAAGAAAAAACTGAAATAATCTCATGTATCCTATCATATCACAAAGGTATGCAAGACACAGAAGGAGAAGATGGGAAGGGGAAATGAAAAGAATTGAGAAGAGAAATTTAAAAATTCCTACACTTGAATGCTAGTGGAA